GAATTTAATGATTGACTTTTGTAACCCGATGGTCCTTGTTGAAACGATCTTTGTTCCCTACCAACGGCACTTGAAGGTACAAGTATCACATGAAGTTTTCAACATTTTAGATTAGTTTTGATTGAAGTAAAGATGATGTCCATGAAAATTGAATGCGAAATTTAGCCCAAAGCTGTTTCAATTATAATTTTTCAATGCTATATAATAATTTGAAATAAGGTTTATTTACTAATTTATATGAACCTTTTAGTTTCACAGCTGTATAACTTTTTTTCTCTCAAGGAGCGACTTTAACTTGGATTATATTTGAGCTCTTTAAAGTCCGCTAATAGGTAGTACTTTATTAATGTCAGAAGTTTGATTATTTGACGAAGACATATAAACGTTCAAACATGGTATTTATGAGGTGAATCTAAATGTATTTCAAGCTATAAAGTTCTGATTGATCAATACACTATATAATTTGATAAATCATATGCTCAACTTCATCCCTTATTGCTTGATTTATTATAAATACACTGCACAAGATATCCTAACATATCACTATTCTGATGTACGTTGTTGTGATTCAAAGTACAGCTTTGAACGCTGATTACCGACTTAAATTTGACACTAAGAACATTCAAAGTAACATTCCCATATTGAAAAAAAGATACACCAGTTTAGCTAGTTCTTTTGTTTGTGATAATCTAAAAAATTTGAAAGTTTTGGATGCCATGGACTTGAAAACTCTATCTCCTCCATTTCAAAAAGATATGAAGGACAAAATTTAATTATTCATTGGGTAGTACAGAAACGTTTTAGTGGATGTCTATCATTGGGATAGCCATTTCGTTACAAAGTAAAGATTAGGTGTCGACCTTTCCATATTATGTATATGTAAAATTCAATAGGAGCAAGATTTTTACAAAGAAGAAAGGTGTTTATCTTGAATTAGTACAAATCAATAAGAAATTAGGTGAAATTATTGCAGAACTTAAAAAATTTCAATTGAAATAAATATTCAACCAACCTCAAACAATCACCATTCAAACAACCAGCTGGGATACCAACGTAAATAACCACCCAAAAAATTAGTTCTATTCAATCATGATCGAAGAACAGCATACAAATATTATATTATGCCCATTTACCTAATAATCCCATTATTGCAGCTCCACAAATAACACTAGAAAGCATAAATGTTAATTGTTTAAGATCTTTTTTAGCATCTCTATCAAATAAGAAATCTCTTGCAAGAAGTTCAACTAATCCACTATAGATTAAAATTCCTGCAGAAATTGCATCTAAAACACCAGTAACGACATTAGCATTATATGAAGCTGATAAATAAGTTGTTCTAACTCCTAATCCAATTGCAATGGAAATTGGAGTTACAAGACCATAAGCAAGACACATCATATAAGCCCAAACATATGAAATATCATTTGGCCATGGAATTGCAGATAATCTTGCACCTAAACCTAAACCTT